AATGGTCATTGGATAAACGTATGGATGATAATGGAATAGTTTAGGTTAGATGTGCTTCAGATTGGTTTCACAGGTCGGCGCAACATCGTGGGCCGAAGGGCCTGTACTGCGCTGTAATGTTCTATGTTCTATGTTCTATCAATTTATCAGGCCTCTGACACACTTCTTTTTAATTGTTTTTGGTTGCTAGATTTAGCTTTGTCCCAAACTAAACACTATCCATTTGCAACAATACAAGTTTGAAGTTAATGTAACAGATAGCGCATGCTAGCATCTACTGCAAATTGTCACACATGGTTAAAAATGCAAACCATTGTTAATATGTCTGTGTCATTTTATAGCTTCAGGTTTGATCTAGCCCATGAAAGGTGTAGATATGGCAGAGCAGTAGACGTTGTTTATTTGGATTTTAGTAAAGCCTTTGACAATGTTCTGCATGGTAGACTAATTAGTAAAGTGAGGTCACATAGGATTCAGGGTGATCTTGCCAATTGGATACATAATTGGCTTAACAGTCGGAGACAGAGAATAATGGTGGAGGGTTGCTTTTCGGACAGGAGGCCTGTGACCAGCAGTGTTCCACAGGGATTGGTTCTGGGTCTTTTGCTTGTCATTTATATAAATGATTTTGGATGAGTATAGAAGGCATGGTTAGTAAGTTTGCGGACGACACCAAAATTGGTGGCACAGTAGACAGTGAAGAAGGTTTTCCAAGATTACGAAGGGATCTTGATCAAAGGGGCAATGGGTTAAAAAATAGCAGATGGAGTTCAATCTGGATAAATGCGAGGTATTGCATTTTGGTACAACAAACAAGGAAAAGGCTTATACACTTAATGGTAGCATCTTGGGTAGTGTTATAGAACAGAGGAACCCAAGGGTGCAGGAACATAATTCTTTGAAGTTTGCGTCACATAAAGACCGGATGGTTAAGAAGGTGTTTGGCACGCTTGCCTTCATTGCTCAGTCCTTTGAGTATAGGAGTTGGGAATTTATGTTGAGGTTGTACAGCACATTTTGGGGATGCTTCTTCTGGAATACTGTGTCTAGTTCTGGTCACCCAGTTATAGGAAGGATATTACCAAACTGGAGAGGGTTCAGAAGAGGTTTATTAGGATGTTGCTGGGTATGGAAGGTTTGAGTTATAAAGGACGGCTGGATAGGCTGCGTCTTTTTTTCACTGGTGGGTAGGAGTTTGAGAGGCAACCTGATAGAAGTTTACAAACTAAAGAGAGGTATAGATAGAGTTAATGGTACTTGTCTTTTCCTTAGGATGGGGATTTCAAGACAAGGAGACACATTTTTAAGGTGACAGGAGATAGATTTTTAAAAAAAGAAATGAGGCAAATATTTTAGAGGGTGGTTCATGTGTGGAACGAACTTTCTGAGGAAGTGGTGGATGTGGGACAATTACAACATTTAAAAGACATTTGGATAAGTACATGAATAGAAAAGGTTTGGAGGGACATGGGCTAGGAGCAGGCAGGTAGGACTAGTTTAGTTTGGGATTATGTTTGGCATGGACTAGTTGAACCAAAGGGTCTGTTTCCATCCTCTATGACTCTTTATCCCTTTATATCTTATCCAGTAAATGTGGGGAAACAGAAATTTGTTTGACAAAATGTCGTGCGCAGTCAATGTAGAAACAACCTAAAACATGGTACCTAATAAAGAAGACTAGACCAGCAGCCACAAGTATGAAATAAAGCATTAAATACTTGCATGTCTTTTCATCAGTTGGCACCACGTTTTTAGGCACATATGTGCTTAGATGCCACTGATCCAATTACAACCCTCTCCCCTTCACTCTCAGGTGGCCTGCTGTATGAGACATGAGGCCTCTTTTCATTGTCTCATGAGTTTTGACACATTGATTAGGTTGGAACTTAATATTATTGCAGTTTCATCTCTTGCTCTCCGGAAGTTACCAAAAGGCAGAACTCAGAGTTCCCATAAGAAAAAGCAAGTGCTCTTAGAAGAAAGCTGAAGTATTTATGGCGCTTCCTTGTTCATATGGGAAAAGACCCCTTTTCACTAACATTGACAAATATCAGCATTTAATTCCCTGTAAAAGATCGTGATATTTTTGATTGTCCCAGAGGATTTCACAGCCAAATTATCTCTGAAGTG